CTGTTTTCTGCGGAATGACCAGACAAGAAAGTATTCTCGTTCTGTTTTCTCAATTTATGCAAAAACCTAATTTGGCTTCATGAGCAAAGCTTGATCATTCAACCCTGTTACCAAAATTATAGTTAGAAAAAAAAAGAATATGTATGCATGGTTATAAGTAGTTAGCATGCAACATGTGCAGGTTTTAATCATTAAATTTAGTAGATTATGTAGCCAGAAGTGTTCATTTGAAAATGAGAGTCATTATTTAAAATTACTAATACAAGAAAAAAAGCACTTTTTTGGTTACTTTTTTGTGGATTGGTTCACATCTGTCACTTTGTTTACATCTCAACGACTGAATTACACAGATATAAAAAAAAATATTTAAAAAAGGAATTAACCAGGAAACATAGGCATTAGGCCTGAGTGATAAAATCTGCTGAATTGTCTTTATTACCTGAACACCATCCAGTACTTGCGAATGTAATGAGAAATCTCCACCCTGGCCTGACATTTTGGCTAATACTTTTCTGAGAGAAAAAAACTCTGAAGACCTTGAGGTTAAATATATAGGAAATATAGAAAACTTTGTATTTTTATCATTTATTTGAAAAGTTCAAAAAGCATTTTATAAATAAATGTCATGCTTGCTAATCTTGCTAATACATAAAATGACAATTCAATAACCAATTCATTTGACACAGGCTTTCAAATGCCATATGTATCTCCCTAAAAATGGTAACAGGGTTGCAAAAAATGCTGTACATGCCAGAAAACATAGCTCATATATCTGATTTGACAGCCTGGGGTGAGAAAATAAAAAGATTTTCTGAAAGTAAGCACTTACTGTAATTAATAATTGTCAAAAAATGGCAAAGGAAAAAGTACATTTTAAAAGAGTTTTGAGGCATAAAAATAAACTCTCTTCATGAAAAAGTGCCTTTTCCTGGAGTTTTTTACTAATAAAGTATTCAACTTAGCTATATCATTAATGACGGAGAGTAAGAAAAGTCTGCTTTTCACAGCCGAGGCAGCCTGAGGAAGCAATTAGCTGGCTTGCTAACTTATCTTAGCTAAATAGCTAGCGTGTCCTTTTACTAATTTCTTGTTATTTTGTAGTTTTACAAGAACAAGCACAACAGCTCAATATTAGACTCAAAACTGTGTTATATGTTCCACTCTGAATGCCTGTTAGCTAATTTTGCTAAAGTAAGCTAATGTTGATGGAAAGCTAATGAGTTAGCTTAGGTAGCTCGCCCAGTGAACCTACAAGTACTGAATCTTATTCTTTAGGGCAAACATTCACTAAAAGTAATGACTCAATAACTTAATCACTGCCACTGGATATACTTTATTACCACTTTCCCTTGTATTTCAGTGAGTTGTCACTGCAGGAACAGTAGGTAGGCGTTTTCAGGTCTCTTTCCACCATCTGAGGATAAATTGGTTCTAATTTGAACAATTACGTATAAATAAATGTGCCAATAGAGCAAAGTTGCTCACTTTTCAGTGTCTTGCCAGTTCAGGATGACTTTGGCATCATTAAGGTGGAAGCTTACCCGACCTAAAGAACTCATTACGGGTCAACAGTTTCTCTGAACCCTAATTAGCCACTGGGGAGGGTTTGGAACAAAAGGCAAAGTGTCCATGCTTGCTGAGACTGGAGTCTGCCCAATTTTCTTCTCTCTTCTGCATTTTTCTGTCTTCTGTTAAGGTGACTTTGCTGTCTTTAAAGGGGAATTCCACCAATTCTTCAGAATTTCTGCATTATTAAATGGTTAAGATGCAAACAAAGTCATTCAGAGTGGTTTGATGTGAAATGCTCTGCTCCAGAGAAGCTTACAGAGTCAGAATTGTTCACAGTGGTGGTGATAGGAACCAGACGTCCAGAGCATTTAATGCATCTTAAAGTGAACATGAGCAAATGCACTTATATGCATTATTAATACAGTCTTATGTGTTGAGATTTTGTTTGAGATTTTGGTGAATTGGTGTTTTTGTGCAAAACAGATTTTAATATATATTCATGGTGGAGAGGTACAGATAGGGAGGCACAGTAGTCCCCAAAGAAAACTTATTTTTTTCAGATTTACCACAGTTTTACCATTACCAGCATAGAAAAACTGATAAGACTTGTGTAGCTTCACTGATTGTTTTTGATAGTATGTAAAATGGCTATATTTGTGATACAGATATTACAAGCCCTGGTTCCTATCACCACCACTGTAAAGAAAATCTGAGTCAGTAAGTTTCTCTACAATGAACCATTTTACATCAATCCACGCTTAATTACTTTGTTTACATCTCAACAATTGAACTACTCAGAAAGAAAAAAAGGAATTACCCAGGATTCATAGGCATTAGACCTGTTCTCGGAGGGATAAAATCTGCCGAATGTTCTTTATTACCTCGAGAGCGCTGCTGCGTTTCGCAACACCATCCAATACTTGCGAATGTAATGACAAATCTTCACCCCAGCCTGACATTTTGGCTAATACTTTTCTGTTGAAATATGGTTTAACTGAACAAGTTGTTGACATTAGCTGTCTGGCGCTGGATTTCCTTTCACTATTTATCCTTTGCTTTATTAGACCGTGACTGAGATTTTTATACTTTATGAGTAAAAGCAAAGAAAGGGCAAAGAAAGAAAGACCTCACTAAAACAATACAGACAACGTAATACCAACGACGTAGCATTATATATAAAAGGCAACTTAATTAACAGTGAATAAGTCGGCCTCAACACTTGCACCACCAACAAACATTTTCCACTGTGGAAGAGAAAAAGCTGAGACATAAAAGAACTCATGCAGAGAAGGAAGCACCTCATATGTCAGTATGAATCAAATCTGATGTTGTTACATTGGCAATCTGCTGGTTCTATTGTGGTTTTCCACTGCTGCCTTTGCAGTAGCTTATCGATGCGGAACAATAGATCCACAAAAGCCTCGAGACTTTATACTCCTCGTTCAAACTGAAGCTTTGCCAGCTCTGAAGGTTGTACCGTTTAGCTCTGAAGGCTGTTCTTGGCTTGATTATCTATTAACTTTGTTTTGCAAGTCCTCTTACAGAAGCCAAATGAGGACGCGAGTTGCTGTCTGTCAGACTCACTTGCAGCAGAAGCACTGCTATTTAAATGCTAATACGATAAGGAGGGCAAAATGTCCTTTATACTTACTCCCTGCGCGATGGGCGGCCACCAGAGAAGATCAAATAAATCTTAGGGCTTTAATTTTACTGTTAGTCATCAAGTGGACTGTGTGGTCAGTCACAATTTTAAGGCCACAGAGACGCCACATAACCAATCGATTGCTGAAGGCGTTGAAAATCTAGTCCTGGCCTGGTGGTCTGCTTGATATATTTACAGCCAGCGAAGACTCCACCTCATAATTTCATCTGGATTTCATCTGACATCACATTTTAAATGGTTGTTGTTCTATTTAATTGATCAACGTACCAGTTTTATCCTATGTTGTTAAAGTTTGTAAACCTGCATTATTGACAATTTTAATCTGATACTGAGAAAAAACAAATGAAACTCTGTTGTAGCTCATTTTCAATGAGCACTATAAGGTATCAGTAAAGGCTATCTAGCAATTATGCCAATGTGGGTCCAATGTGGGGCCACTGTGGGCTAAAAATTGGACCCACTGTGAGCTGCCTGTAGTGAGGCAGTGGTCAGTCATGAAACCAGGGACATATGTGGGCCCTAAAGTTAGAGCCACATGGTGGAAGCACATCCGAAACCGTGATAAGCTGTGCCAGCATGAGGCCCTAACATGGGGCCCCACACTTGCCCCTGGTTTTACAACAGATTGGGGCCCCATTGTGGGCAGCCTACATTAAACCCTCACATTTGGGTTTTGTGTGGACTGCCAGAATGGGGCCCTAACATGGGGCTTCACACATGCTTCTGGCTTCACAATAGATCAGGGCCCCTCTATGGGAAGCCCACACTAAGCCCTTGCATCAGGGCTTAATGTGGGCTGCCACCAAGGGCCCTTACATGGGAGCCTGCATGTCTCCCTGGTTTCACAACTGACCGAGGTCCCATTTCGGAAAGCCCACACTTAGCCCTTATATTGTCATAACTTACAAATCATATGACCATAACTGACAAGGCTAACTAGCTATGCTAAGGCTCCATCCTGTATGTAGGAGTGCGATACCTTGTTTTGGCAAAGTTTTTGGTTCCATCATTTGTTTTTATTTAAAATGATTACTGAATATTTGTTTGAACACATTGTCACTGATGCAAAGCAACACTCATATAAAACACCAAAAGCTGCTGTGTTGCTCCCCCTTGTGGAGAATCTTCAACCTGCTAAACATGAGTGTGTGAGTTACAAGCCACACCCATGAGGTGCTTCATATCTAAAAATGTAATATAAAAACGTGCTCATCCTGGCTAAAAAGTGATTTCCTAAGCTGATTTATGCTGGTCTGGGTGTGGGTTTAACTGGGCACCCAGCATGTGCATCATACCAGCCTTCAAAACACAACATGTTCTGGTTTTGGTGGTGATCAGTACAGCATCGTCCACACATATGCTAATGAGAACATGGTACAGGCATCAATATGCCCACTTGCACATACTAGTCAACTACCGTTCTAGACCTTGACATAATTGCAAAGTTTGCATTTAAGTAGATAACAAGATATACATTTCTGGATAAATTTAAAAAGATTCTACAAAAGCTAGAGAGAACTTTGCAGAAGATGTGTGACCTCTGTCTTTCATGGATATCAGTAATCCGTGATCCATATTTGCTCACATTTACCTGTGAAGATCAGGGATTTAGTGGTTTGCAGAAGAAAGATCTAAGCTCTGCTCCACTGAGTGTCATGAATATGCAGGACGTACCTGTGAGTTTTCTCAGCCCCTCAAAATAGTGTTTCTTGCACGAATGTAGCGTCTTCACATGTACCTCCACGGAGAAAAGTGTTCAGAATGTGATGAAGTCTGGCTCAGGGAGATGAAAATGTCACAAGTCTACTTTCTCATGCAAATATTAAAGAGAAAGCCTTGGTTTAATGAAGGGAGACATTAAAATGATGCTAACTAGTTCTGCATTAGCATCACAGCCAGGAGTGCATTTACATGCACTTAACAGTCCAATCACTGGCGGATTTTGGCAGTTATCTGATTATTTAAGTGGTCATTTAAGCAGCGTAATCTGATTTCTTAGATCAGATTTAGGACCATTGAAATCTGATTAAGAAATCTGATAAAGGGAACTGGAATTTAGCTCAGTGATGTGTTTTATCAGCACACGTATACCCTTACTCTGATTTCTTTCTTTTTTCTCTGTATGGACATATGTAAAAACAGAACGCCGTCCCAGAAACAGCAAGCAGCATTTATCACAGCACAGCAAGAAGACAACAAAACACATTTAGAGCGATGCTAAAACCAACTACATGCTTGATGAAATGTTGTATTTAAGAATTTAAGACATGTTTACGTCACGCCTTCTTCTTTAGGTTTATTGGCCGGTTGCAAAGCAGAAATCCAATTACTACCTGATTCATGTAGACCCAGAGGTTTCCCATTATCTGATTACCCAAGTGCATGTAAACACGTTAAATGGATTACTGGCAAAAATCAGATTTTCTGCAGTTATCAGATTGTTAAACGCACTTAATCTTATACTAACTGTCATTCATTAGTCCAGTTCACTTTAGATTCAGTTTCCTGTGGTATTTAGTCATGTTTACTGGCATGTATCTCCCATTCCAGCAGGCACAGGGTATTTTCTGAGCTTCACTGCTGACACTGCTAAGTCTGACTGTTGACAGAGCTGCTTGTCCATATTGTTCTTCTTAGCATTGCTATGTTACATCCTCTTGAAACCTGCTTTTCAACCCCTTAGATAACCTCACAGCATCTCACCCATGTCAAACAAAAAAGGCACAAAAAATGAAATAATAGAAGGAAGTGAACCTGATCAAAACGCAACGCTTTTTGCTTTGATTAAGTTACAGGCAGGGTCCCCTTGTCCGTCCTTGCTGAAAGATTCCAGAAAATGCGGTTTTAATCTCGGAGCGCTGGCTCCCAAGGACAGCTCCTGACGCACCTCAGACTGCTCTGCCTCCAAAGCTGGCTTTGACGGATGGCACAGCAGTGCCAAAATGATAGGCTATTATTTTACTTTGCATTGGATAAATGGAAACGCTAGCTGCTAGCTGTCCGCTGAAAGCCTCGCCGAGAAGGGCTTGAGGAGGGCTCAGCTTGAGTTTTTTTGTCATGTTGTGATTTTATAAAAATGTCCTGTTTTCAGGAGAACTGCACCAATTACGCCATTAAAAACTGCCTAGGCAGTTCAGTTGGTAACATAGTGTACAACTGCTGTTCATAAGTGAAATGGGGGGAGGCTGAGGTGAATGTGGAAATAATAATAAGATATTAAGAACATTTTTCAGGGGTGCTAACGAGTGCTGAACAATTTAGTTCCGCCGATAGGGCTGCACTCCAATCAAATAGGGTGTCAAGTCCAAGTAGTTATGGTAGTCATTGCTTATAGTCAGTTATTTGTGAGCTTTCCTAACATGGTGTGTAAAGTGTAGATGTGCAAACTGTGATGCAGGTTAATTTCTAGTGTTTATGGTAGCTGTAGTCCATCAGGTAATACAGAAGAGAGAACAATACAAAGTACAACGTCTCACAGTTTGCACATTACCCAAAAGTTGTTTAGTCTGGGGCTATAGTGTCATATTAAAAGCCGGCAACAATTTGATTTAAGAGTTTCGCCAGCTGAAATGCGTTTCTGGATATGGAAGCAGCCCCTGCTGTCTTTTCTTTAGCCTATATGTTGCAGGGGTGGGAATCATCAAAGGTCCCACGATACGATGATATCATCATGCTTAAGTTTGGATACAATATTACTGTGATTTTAAAAATATTGTTATATGCTGCGTACTGCGATAACATGTATTGCCATTTTTTACCTTTTCTCAACTGCAAATTTTGTCCCCAAAGGAAAGCTTTGTCAAGATATGTTTTATCTAATGAGACAAAGTTTTCAGTCTGTTCATCTCACTTCAGTCATTTTTATTGCAGCAATATAGGATTGTCAAGCAGACTAACACTTTCATAAGAAACTTAATTTATATAATAAAATTTTGTTATACTATGCTGTATCACTTTTTTCCCTCACCCCTAATACGCTAAATTATGAATATTATCATACAAACATTTACCCTGGTTTAGATTTATACTTTTTAAACAATTTTATATCATTTTATCTCTAACTTGTGCTATAACACTTGCAACTTTTACAGCACCAGTGCTTAATGCTCAAAAAGTTTACAGCCTTGCCTTGGCACTCCCCTAGCGCTGCATGTCATGTTGACTTTTTTTGAGATTATACAGTAGGTTAATGGCCTGATCTTTCTACATGCAAACGACCATCTTTCCCACATACATGCTTTTCTTTTAACGTCATGCCTTACGCTTCCGTTTAACTGCAGCACCGCTATTTAACTCTGTGCTTGAGGGCATCGCTTTTTTTGCAGGTATTTGTTTCAACCATGCGCCAGCAAACTTGACGTGTCTAATGAGCTTCGGCTGAGCCAAGAATAATTCCTAATTAGTCAAATAAGATGTTTGTGTTATTTTACCAAAACAAACAAGGCAACCTGGAGAGTATAGCTGACAGCTGAATAATAATAATAACTGTGGGACAATTTTGACTCAAAGTCTCTCTCTCTCTCTCTCTCTCTCTCTCTCTCTCTTTCTCTCTCTCTCCTCAGACCAGCCGTATTCATGGTCCCCCATCCAGTACTTCGATGAAGACAGCTACCCCTCCCCTCCCAGGAATATGAAAGGTCTATCAGGCGGCCGTCCCCAGCTGACCATCACACCCGGACACACCTGCGGCCTGACGGACTGTGACCACTCCCTGGACCACCTGCAGCATGGCATTTCGGACTCCCGCTCGTCTTACCTGCTTAGCCCCACGGACAGCTGCCCTATGGACCACCACCGCTGCTCGCCGCGGAGCTCCATCCACTCCGAGTGCATGGTGATGCCCGTCTCCATGGCTTCCGACCACGTCTCCAGCAGCACCTTCCCAAGGATGCACTACAGCTCACATCACGAGAGTTCACGGGAGGACGGTTCCACTGTTCACAGTGGCGGAGGAGGTGGAGGAGGAGGAGGAGGAGGAGGAGGAGGTGGAGGTATCGGTGCAGGTAGGAGCAATAAGAGAACATAGTATCATTATCATTACACTGTATGTCTGAACCTCTGAAGGCACCAGTGGTCCTTTGAAATCAAGGGTATTAATAGGGAGTTTGTCCCCGTTTGCTGCAGTAACCGTTTCTACTCTTTTGGAAAGGCTTTAAACTAGATGTTGGAACATTGCTGTGAGGGTTTGATTGCAGTCAGCCTCAAGAGCTTTAGTGATTAGTTCTGATTCACTCCAACTCATCCCAAATGTACTGGATAGAGCTCGATCACTCCAAAGTACGCAGATCCACTACTGAACATTTTTGCCTTCTCCTGTAAAGTTACCATTCTGACATACTTCTCTTTTTTTGGACCACAACAACAATTATCTTATTGACCAAGAATGCAATGTGGACATCATTTTGAACTGAATTATTCATTTTGTGAATCGTTACACCCCTAGTGAAAAGTATTTTGATATTATACTTATCGCTTGTTCCTTAGGTGGAGGCTCCGGGAAGATGAACCGAATTCCGGCCAACCTCCTGGACCAGTTTGAAAAGCAGCTTCCCATCCACCGAGATGGCTTCCACACGCTGCAGTACCAACGCACTTCCACCACCACCACCACCAGCGAGCAGCGCAACGAAAGTCCCGGGCGCATCCGGCACCTGGTGCACTCCGTGCAGAAGCTCTTCACCAAGTCCCACTCCCTGGAGGGCTCGTCCAAGATGAACGGCACCAAGGGCGACTCGCGCTCGGACGCCGGCCACCACCACCACGGGCACCACCACGGCCATCACAAACACAGCAAGAGGAGCAAGAGCAAGGAGCGCAAGGGCGACTCCAAGCACCGCTCAGGGATCGCCGGCTGGTGGAGCTCTGACGACAACCTGGACAGCGACAGCACCTACCGGACTCCCAGCGTCATGAGCCGCCACCACGTGGACCACATAAGCCACTGCTACCCGGACTCGGTCCAGAGCCACTTTGGAGACCTTTCGCTTAAGACCTCAAAGAGCAACAACGACGTCAAGTGCTCGGCTTGTGAGGGAATGGGTATGGCTCCCGAGGGCAAGTTCATGAAGCGGAGCTCTTGGTCCACGCTGACTGTTAGCCAGGCTAAAGAGGCTTACCGCAAGTCCTCGCTCAACCTGGAGAAACCCATGATGCCTCAAGACCTCAAGTCCTCCATGAGGCCTTGTCATTATCTGCAGGTCAGTCTCACCATGGGGTTGAAATTGAGATTCTTCTGCTTGTTTTTGTGAAGCTCTGATGCTGTTATGCAGTTCACTGCTTTTAAATGGAAGGGTCACTGCAAAAGGTGTGTGTCGAGATGGAAGGATAAAACATGGGATTGAGACCTTTGGGTTGTAATATTGGAGAAAATGACATTATGGGGATGAGTCCCATACCACTAATGTACGTTTACCATTTGGTGTCGGGCTCTGGTGTCCCAAAAGCATCGAGTGGCGAGCTTAAGGTCACAATACTTTGCAGAAACCAAACCAAGATTGGTTATAATGTAGCAATTTACCAGTCCAGCTGTTGCTGAAAGCCTTTCTGATTGTGTACGTGTTCCTGATGATGGAGTGCAAAGCCTGACACGCTTTCCTGTAGAGTGGTAAAGCGGTGCCTCGGTTGAGAGCAGATTTATTAGCTCTGCCAGCAGGACCAGAGGATTGGATACCCTGCAGAGTTGTGCTAACATTCAGAAATATTGCTAACCGTGAGTCATATTGATTAGCATGGATTGCTTGGTAGTAAAACACGCTAATGTATCACCGTTATCAGCTTTCGTTATTCAATGGACTGCTCTTTAGATAAATACCTTGAAGTACAGTAAGGTGTATGACTGTTAAAACTATTCTATTCTTTGTAGCACTGCTAGATTGTTAGTATCTGCCAAAGAGCTAGCCTGTTAAATCTGCTGCTAACAGATGCTCTTCAGTCTTCAAGGTCTGCTCATAAATAGCTCTGACTCACCCAAAAAGGCTTAGGTGGCATTCAGAAAGGATGACCACTCAGTAGGGGCAATCATCAGTGGCATCACCAGGGGAGAGAAGGGCTAAGAGGTAGGAAAGGCCCAGATTAATGTAGAAATCACTCTTTGGCAGCCATAAACTCTGTCCGGGAGATCCTGGCCCGTTCCGGCTGAGTCAGCCGAAAGCTCCACAGGCTCATGACCTGCGGTTATTTGGTGTCCAGCATGGGCAGTATTAGGGATTAAACATGTTCAATAAATCTTAAGTGTATCAGAAAGCTGAGTAGGGACACTAGGGGTAACTGTTAAGTAGCAGGCTTTGGTGGTGAGGGTTTAAGAGTCAGAATGAAGGCAGTTTTGTTAAAGGGGAATTCCACTGTTTGAGAAAAACAGCATAAGAATTGTTTACAGTGGTGGTGACAGGAACCAGATGTCCAAAGATTTAATGCCTCTGAAAGATACTTCACAGATAGTTATTATGTGAAATGGTTATGAATATCCTGCCTGATGTATGACACATTGTTTTCAGAATAGTTTTGAGAAGGTTAAATCCATTCTTGGTGGAGAGGTACATGCATATGTGTTATGAGACAAAACAGGCATATTTTTCTTCAGATTTACTACTATTTTATATTGTTTACATAATCACAACAGATTCTCATCTCTCACCGAATTTATACTGGCTCTGACTATCTGTGCTTCCTTGTGCTGCTTTTATCAATCCAATGGGAAACAACCGTTTATCTAGCTAAATGCTAGTAGCAATCAGTTGTCACCTGTGAGCACCAATGAGCCTTTCAGAGCAAAATAACCATGAAATATTCCTGCTATTGCATTTTTGTTGTTCCTGAATTTAGTTCGAAGCTGTTAGTAGGAAGTAAACAAGATGGTACTCCACTTTATGTGTCGTGAGAGTCACGCTTCCAGGTTTTCCTCCCTTGCCGAACAAGCTCCAGGACTCCATTTCCCAGAATCCCAATCCTCATGACATCACCCCTTCCACCAATCACAGGCCTCTGCTTTGTTCTCAGTCACCTGACTACTACTTCAACACACCTGTATCCGTTTGCCTTAGACTTTAAAAGGATCCTGGTTTGCTCTCCTCTTTGTGAGGTATTGCCACTCTACTGGTTTACTGAGCGGGTCTCTTCTGATTTCCTGACCTGTGTGCTGAACCCATTGCCTGTTTTTGACTGTTACTCTTCTGGTTGCCTGTGTTTTTCTATTTTCTCGTTTTTTGACTTTTGCCTGTCTTTGGATACTGTTTTTGGATTTGCCTTGACTCTGTTCTCTCATTAAACCAACTTACGTTTTTAAGATTTCTGTGCTTGTTAAGCGTTACAGTGAGCTTGTTTTTGTTACAGACACATTGCGGTAAATGCGATTGGTCGTTTTGCATGTCAGTCAAACAGCCTTTTCCTGTCACTGCTTACTAGGCTGTATTTTGACACGGCCTCATGCTGCATTTATGTGTTGAAGTTGAAAAACTGCTGTTCCATGCCTCAAAGTGGTACGCGACCAACGGCAGCATCATTGGCAAAAATGCCTTCAGCAGTGTCTATTGTGTATTTAAGGTGGAAAAAGTCTGGAGCATGTTCTGTACTCTTCATTTTTGCTGTATAATTGGTTCCCCTGGACTTAATGAGATATTTGGCATCCATGACTCCCAAAAAAATGAACATCCAGTTTATTCCACTATCGTGATCAGCGGAGCAGTTAACACTTGACGGAACGTTCCACTGGCTTCTGTGGTACGTTGCTGCCGGTCGCAAAATTTTCCGTCACTGCTCCATTGAAAACAATGGAATCTCTGGTCTGCCATTGACCTATGGAGTCAGATTCATCACATTTGAATTTCAGTGCAAAATATGATTTTAATATTGTTTTGAATGTATATCATACCATCTGAAACTGAAATTGAATTTTAAGGTTTGTAAGAGAAAAATATTAGATGTGAAACTGAATTTGAAGTTTGATGATGTACAAAGGAAATTCCTTTTTCTATAACTTTCAAAATATCACTTTCAAAATAACATCCATGGATCTTTCAGGCAAAATCAGTCAAATCATCCTTCAGATTCATGGAGAATGTGTTGTATTTGGTTCTATATGGAACCTTTTTTGAAAATGGTTCTATATAGCACCAAAAAGGTTCTGCTCTTGTTACAATGTCAAGCTTGTAACATTAGAAGAACACTTTTTGGTGCTATAAAGAACCATTTTCAAAAAGGTTCCATATAGAACCATATACAACATGTTGATCTAAAGAACGGTAAAGAATGGTTCTATATATTATTCAGGGTTCTAAATAGAACCATTCCCTTTACTAAAGAACCTTAGAATAACCATGTATTTTAAGAGTTTACCTACACTCACTACCAAATAGGTTGCAATTACTGATGGTAGCCCATCTGTTGCTGCAGTTTATCGTCACCCCCCAACCCCACCCCATCCATCAATGGAAAGGGACCACCGCAGGACCTCCACAGACCAGATATTTGTATACAGACCAACATGTAAACGCAGCATTGTGCAGCTTGCAGTGGAACTTCATTCTGATCCACCTGTTCAATGTATTTTGTCCTCCGCTGCATTGGTATTTGTAACCATAAAGCTGCACAAATTCCAATGACACTCTAATTAATATCACATCGTAGGCCACCTATTAGCTGCATTCATCCTGGACTAATGAGTGACGGAGCAATAGGCACTTATGAAAATGACTGGGTAGTAGTTGTCAGTTCAATCAAGACTGAGGTGTGTCAGCTCATAATTGCTTGACTAACACTTCAGATGAACACATCGAGTTAAGTGGGAAAGGGCTTTATGTCTTGATGACCTGTGATTGTGATCCTATGTGGGATGGAAAAGGAGAAAGGGGTGGGTAAATCCACAGGATGACGCTCTTGTTTTTTTTTAGTTAATTCATCTCTTTTTTCATTCACTAATGCAGAGTAAGCACCAGTCACCTGTGTCAGTCCGTCGTCATTAGACACCAATTAGCTCAGGTTTGTGTTTATCAACCGTGTCAGATAGGATTAATTACCGGCACGTGCCACCACGACCTGCACCATCTGATGGCCCATGACTCTGATGCATCTCTGTGTCGTGGTTGAACCGGCTCCTTCGGCCGCGACAAACACGAGGCCCTAAAAATAGCTCAGCCCATCTATCCGGCTGCTGCTGTTTTTGGCAGCTGTTATCAATGCGGACCTCTGTGACGCACACGCTCGGGGCGATTTATGCCCCTTCGCTCTGAACGAAAGGTGGAATCATCCATCGGGGGGCCGGGGGAGGCTAGAGCAGCGGCTCAGGAAGTGGTAGGGCAGAGCAGAGAAGGAAATAAAGGAGCTATTTCTGAGGAGTCTCTTCATCAGTAAGGTCAGCCGAGCGAGGGAGACGGAATCGTTAGCCAGGGATGTGGTTGGGAGCAGGATCGATGCTAAAAAGTTTTACCTGTTTGCTTTTTGTCTAGTTGTATTGCCTCCACTTTTTTTTCCGGCCCTCGGCGGACGTGGGTTGTCAAATTGCTCAGCACAGATGGTTGAGTTTGTACAACAGTCGCTCTTTTTTTCGGCTTCTTCACATGATTAGCTCTAGCATTCGTGATACAGCGGTGGATTGTAAAATGTCAGATGCCAGACGAAGCCTAGATGGCGTTTCATCAATTTGGTGCTCAAAACGGCATTTAAACAAAGGAGCATGAATGGTGTTCATGATTTGGTTCATGCTAGCATTAGCCGTCCCTTTGTATTCGCTGCACATTTCATGCCGTTGGCTAACGTTCATCTGCGTGTAAACAGATCAGTGTTGTTCCTGCTTGAAGACCCACTCGATGAGAGTAGATACCCTGGGTCAGGGTCAGACCTTCTCTTGGAAACTGTGTCACCTGAAGTGCTTGCATTTGCTCAATTGGAAGCCCAGTCTGGCCGAACAACCCAGACAATGTGCTTCATTAACCAAGCAAATCCAAGTCTATGTGCTGTTTTCACTTCAGTAATTCTGTGCACAGGACATTCAATGGCCCAGTGTTATTTCTTATTTTTACCTCTTCCTCTTATAGCAACCTCACTGCTGGTCTTTAGTTAAATTTAGGGCATCATATGTTTTGAAAGGGGGGGGTGATAATTTGTCCATCACTAATTCTTTGGTGATGTGAGCAGCTCTCCGCCAGCTTCTCATTTTAATTTACCTGTTCCACCTTAAATGGAGCAGCAGTTACATTCTGACGCT